ATGCTAGCATGACATAGTACCAATGGATGCTTCATTTAGTTTCATATGATACCAGTATCTTCATTCTAGCTTTAAAACGGAGCCTGCTACAGCCTCTGAAAGACAGTGTGGAGTGAAAGGAGTAAGGGTAATGGGGTGGCACTTGGGCTGGCCAACCCAGGCCCCCCTCTGGACACGCCCCTGTGTGGATGTAAAAATTTGATCCTGCACCTGTGGCAGGGAGTGATGAGACAGAGCGCTGACACCAAAATTAACTGTTTTCAATCAGCTTTACATCCTAATCTACAAGTTCTCTGAGTGAAATGTAGCAAACTGTCATCCCCATCATCCTAATTGAAGCGTCTCTCAGCAGCCCACCCCGTACGGACTTGTTACTGCTACACTGCCACTCTATTGGCTGCCTGAGGGCAGTTTTCTTTGCTCAGCCCCCACCTGTGTGCTCTGTTCCCTAAATTCCCTGTTGGAGATTTGCATTGATCACTCTGTTTGCTCCCATATGCTGCTCCCATATGCTGCTCAGTATGCTGTACAGGCACTGACATGACAGACCTGGACTAAAACATTCTCAATAAATAAAGCGTCTAACTAAATGCATTCATTCTTTTACACTAGATTTATGCATTGATGCGTTGTCAAATGTCATGATTATGCATATGTTGTGGGAATTGTATTCTGGCATTTAAGTATTGCAATATTTTTATATTTTTTTGTATATATTTTCTAAATTAGCAGGTTGCAGAATAACTGAGACAGCTTGACCATATATATTATATCATCACTTTATAAAGTGTATTTATCCAGCTGACACAGAGCAACACTAGCACTGATTTTAAATTGTATTACTGCCCACCCGATGAATAGAAGTCCAATATTTACTTTCCTGTTATCTAAGACAAAAATATATCTATTTAGCTGCTAAATGCTCCAGACAGCCGGTGTACAGTGGGTTAACCGTTTATCTGAGCGCTTCCCTAAATACAGCTGCCTACTGTAGCTGGAAACAGGTAGATGAGAGTGAACCATAACAGTAAATGTGCCATAAAAACTATGAGCTAAAAGAGTGTGCAGGATAAAATGAAGCTGTTACTTTAAGCCTGAAATTGATATGAGTGGATCAGACTTTGCTATATTTATTAGAAAACTATCTATAGAACAGCCTCAGAATTGAGCTTCAGGGCAATTTTTTGATTACAAGAGTAGAACTATTTACAGAACAAGGTTTTTTTTTTCTTTATAAAGGCTACTCAAATTGTTCTTTGACAATACTTAAAAAAACAAAACAGTGTTTGAGTTATATTCTGAGTTTTGTGGGCGAACTGTAAAATAACTTACATTTGGGTGGAGATAAATATATAATAGTCTAATGGATGCACTTTTCATGAGAGAGACAATTACGTAATTACTTGCTGTAGAAAGTTATTTGTTTACACTACTTCTTACATGACTTCTGCTACGTTGCTTAAGATCACGTAACATGAACTGCATTTAATGAGTCAAACTAACTCACCAAACTATTTATCCAGATAATTGAAGAACTTATGCAATGCAAGTAATGACATAATTGTTTGATTGGTAGCTGTAATGTAACTATGGACCCCCACTGACACTTAAACCCACCACCAACCTTGAATCTATGTATATAATAATGCACTTCCCTTGGTTTTTATCTTAAACATTGCAAATATCATTCTATGTGACACTGTGAACTTGCAGATTCAGGACAATATGTTGCACATTCCTGTATAGCTCTTCACTCATTTATTTAAGTATATGGTCTTATTGTACATATGGTCTCTCTTTATTATATTTGTATATGTTTCTATGTTTAATTGTTATGCACCAACTTACCAAGGCAACATCTTGTATGTGAAAATTATGGCAAATTCTACAGTCATTAAACTCAAACTTGTTAAAACACAAACATCTTGTGTTGTTGTTAAGCAATGGTCATGTGTACCTGCAATGTTAGAACAGGCTCCCAACCTGGGGCAGCGAGGACTTCTTGATTTCAAGGTGTGTGGGAAAACCTTCCAAATATAAGTAGTAGGCTTATATCTCAGCATATAGGCCATTTATATCTGGTTCACTTCTGTAAAGATGTAAGTAAATTGTCTCACATTTAATGTCTAACAGACAAGTCTGTATGATTGTTAAAAATGATACAAAATAAATACATAATACAGACAGAGAATTGTATAAAAAGTTCCCTAAACAGGAAATAATCTGCTCAAAATCATCCAAATCTCTGGTTTTATACCAACGTACTGCAGTTACTGAGTTCACTGTTTGGGTTCATTGAACAGACAAACACGTATCTTGTAGTGAAACTTTGTTTCTTTATTCACACAATTTTCTACTCCAGCTATGTTAGAAGTTAACGTAAGTGTCAATCCTCTAGTTCCTATGTTGATCTCTCATTCATCTGTACACACTATATAAAAAAGTCAAGATTATAATATGTTTAGAAATCCAAGAGAGTTGCAAGGTGGGGAGGGTTCGACAGTTGTTGAGGGGTTCTCGCTTTACAGTCCCTCCCCCTCACTTCCCGCCTCCTCCACCTCTACTCTTTTTTTTCTCTTTTTTCATTAAACAAAAAGAACATATTGAACAAGGCATTTGTACCAGAGCTCAGAAGGGGCTTGGACATTTTGTAAAGCGCTTTGACTGTACAGCTCACGCAGAACACAACCAACAGGTCATATACAGAGCATGGTAAAAGAGGAATAGTATACTGCTTGGGCACAACACAAACACAATACAATGCTATCTGACAAAAAAAAGTACCATTGAAAAGAAAAGAAAATTATTCTTTTCAACTTTTTTTAAGCATTTCATAGAAACAAAAGAGAAAGGTAAATTGCAAACTTGGAGTAAACAAATTGAGAATATATATACAGTGAGGTAAAACACATTGGTCTTTAAAAGGAGGTATTTTCTTTTTGATTAAGTGACCTTTTTAATATGTTAATTATGCTTTTTAAGATACTTTTCAGCTTTTGGATGACATCTATAAAGCAGGTAATGCAGACATCAATGCAGACACAATCACATGCAGTCTTGTCATTCGAGGTGAAAAGCAAAGGAGTCTTGTCAAACTTAGGCACCAAATAAAACATGATAAAGCTTTCTGCTACCCTTGTTGCCATAAAGGCCTCACTGCAGCATCGAACCGGAGAGGAAAACCGTTGAAACTGAGCAAAAGCCTGAACCCTTTAGTGACCCAAACCACTCCTCGCGTCAACCTTGATGCTTGCAGTGTGTCTCTGACGCGATGGAGGGCAACCATGAACGTGATAATCCTTCGACCCTAAAACGCTCGTCATCACAGTGTGTGGATCATGCTAGCATAGATAGGTCGTTCAACCTGTGTGATCCAGAGGGACTGAGTGGGCGGACACTGATTGGCCCAGACTTTGCATAACAAGAGAAAAAGAGAGATAGAAACGGACCCGTGCAGTGGATATTTGCATGCTCAAAAAGTTGCTGCCATTACCTTTGGGCTGAGTTACGCGGGTTGTGCTCGGATTGGTTGGAGACTCTGAGGGCCGATACATTCACAGCTGTGGGAATTACTCAGTGCGTGGTTTGAAGCGCTAGAGCTGCTGGCATAGTTTATGTTACCTCCCTGTTTTGACCCTCCATCAATGCACACGGAGCAGGAAAAAAATGCTCCTTTTGCACCTTTCTTGGCATAAAAAGAATAGCATGAAAAAAGGCTGCATATTTGACCAGACCTAACAAACAGAGTGCTCTCTTTATCGGGTTTGAGTCACAAAATGGCTCGGCCATGCTGCCGCTCCCGCTCACAACCTTCAACCGCGTCGACCAGTGAACCGAGGTTTGGAATTGCATGGTGGCTGCATATCAACAGTGTACAGTGACCTCCCCCGCCCACTTTGATCTGAGCTGAAGAGAGAGAAGGCAAGTAAGAATCTCAACGAGGAGGTACAGTGTTTTCTTCGTTAATTTAGTTTTTAAATGGATCATGGCCAAGACAGAGATATAAGCAAAAACTGTTCACCAGACCCACAAATGAAGGATTTACAGGTTCAGTCCCGATCTTTCCAGACAAAAGGAGGGACAGCCTATAGTACGGCCCCTTTTATAACCCCAAGGCTAATGTATGTTCCAAACAGACTAGCTTGTACATCGTCAAAGGCAGGCAAGAGCTGTTAAATACGGCCACAATCAGAGGTGGGGGGAAATGCCTTTTTATATATGCACATATATCCATATATATATGGATATCAATTATACATATGTGGAGATAACAGAGCACACTGTTAGACAGTCTTTCTTCAAAGACAATCATGGTGTTTATTGTCGGTGGTGGTTTCATAAATGTACAGGCAATTTCGGTTGTAGCACCCCCGGTTTCAGACACAGCTCCAGCCATCCAACAGACACTCTTGGACAGTCCTTAAAGGGGAACTCAACAGATGCACATAAAAGTGTGTTTCCAGGTGTTGGGGAGTAAAGTCGACAGCTGACACTGACTAAAATGATGTCACTTGAGTCAGTGTCAGTTGGGGATGAAGACTCTTGAGTTAGAAAATGAAAAGATCTGGGGGTGTGAGCTTGACAGACCTCTGTAGCTCACTCATCATCTCTACTTGAGGATAGCAGTTCGAGGCCACATTAGCTGCTAATAGCATAAAAGCTTGAACGTACTCCCACAAGGATGTGTACATGGACAGCAGCATGGTAGTTCTGTTTATACTACTTTCAGGAGTCCACGTGCAACAGTCCGCACAGTCACAACAAACTGGCAGTATGCGATTGTCCGCACAGAGCCTACACGTACACCTTCTGAAAATGTATGTCACTCAGAGTGTACTCCTGCAATCTT